ACCATGCTTTTAACTTACATAGTGTTAAATTTTCCCTTTTTCTTGCAAGTCTTCCTAAGAACACTGAACTTAGGTTGCTTGATGAGGACGAGGATCCGTCTTTGCCTATCGAGCCCTCCGTCTCGGGACAGCCCGGGGCTTCCACGAAGGAGGAGAAGAAGAAAAAGAGAAAATCCTCGGGTTCCTCGAACCCGGAGAGGAAGAGGAAGAAGATGAAGAGGGTAGCCACCCGGGCCCGGAAGCCCAAGAAAAATACCAAGTGTAGGGCACTGGACCTTGGCTATCTCTACCGGCTCAGGGATGAGCCCGAAGAGGATGACATCTTCGTCGCCCATGGATCGATCCCCATTGGGGAGCAGGCGACGACTGAGAAAGGAGGCCACGAGGCCGATCCCCTTCAAGCTCGAGAACCTGGAGGGGAGATGGAGGCTGTGACTTCCCAGGAAGCCCCTCCCTTTCCTAAGAAGACGCCCGTTGTCATTGACATCATAGAGACGCCCTCCTATACCTAGTCCATGCCCGAGGAGGCCCAAGAGGGAAAATAAAATCAAGTAAGGGAGTGCAGGGTTCAAATGACCCCCTCAACTCCTTTTATGATGGCATGGACATGTCCATATTGGAGGACTTTTCCGGGCTGGGCCACCTAGAGATCCCGAAGAAGGATGTGCCCTCGGGTGCTGGCGGGCCGAGTTCGAGCCCAAAACTAGTGAGGCAATTTCCCGCACCGAGCGTGGACCCCGGGCGTAGAAGAACAATCGTTCTTACAGTCCTAGAGGATGCTCGGGTCCTATCTGCTCCGGTGGGCGTAGCCAACTACCTCCGATGCTTGGTGATCGAGGGGGACCAAGCAAAGATGAACAAGTTGGGCACATCAAGTCTTTTCAAGAAGGCGCAGTAGGCGCTGAACCGGATAAGATGCCAACACTTTTACACCCCTTTATGAATTCGACTTAAGTTTTTATGTCTCTTACTACTTCTGTTATTTTACAGGCCTCAGTGCTTCATCATGAGTGCTTCCTCAGGTATCGCTTTGAAAGCCAGCTCGAGTTCGAGCTCAAAAAGCAGGCACAGAAGAAGGACATGTGCAGGCTTCTCAGTGAGCAACAGGACGAGGCCCTCAAAGACCTCCAGGCCGAGCTGGACAAAGCTCAGAAGGAGGCCTCGACCCTGAAGCGGGAGCATGCCAACCTGGTTGAAAAGGTAAAGTTCTTTGAAGCTAAAAATGAGGAGCTAATCGTGGTAACTAACAACACAACCTCGCTAGTTCAACAGAAGATCGACCTGCTCTGAGCTCAGATGAACTGGGTCGAGGCCATGACCGAAGGGTGGAAGGGCAGGATTGACCTGCCGGCTTCGGAGAAGGAAACTACGAAGGCGGAGATGGCATCGGTTGAGAAATAACTCTGGGTGGCGAAGGAAAAAGCTGATAAGTGGTCTCAACTGAACGATGATCTCCGAGCACAGCTGAGCTCGGCCGTCGTAGAACGGGATGCCCTTGGAAGAGAATATGAGGCCCTGAAGTCCAAGTTCGACACAACCTCCGCTGATGCCGAAGAAATGGTGGCCCAGTTCAAGGCCGATGCGAAGGCAGCCGAGACCTGCCTAAAGACAAAGATTGAATATGCGGAGCGGTTGTCCCGAAGAGAGACCCTCGAAGAGATCCATGCCCGAGGTTTCGACCTATCGACCGAGATCGGGGAAGATAAGAAGCTCGAGGCCGAAGAAAAGGAGCTCTACAAGCCTGAGGGTGCCGAAGGCTCTTCCGAGGGCTCCGAGGGATCTGAGGGCTCTGATGGTTTTGGCCCTGGTGAAAACCAGGCGTAGATGCCTAAGTACTTTTTCCGTTTTTGTTTTTCCTTGTGTATATTTTTTTAGTTTATTTAAAGGCCGTTTTTATTGGTCCTCTAGCAATATCGTGTCTTTACTTTTCCAGCATCTTTTGTAATTTCTACTTATTAATGTTCTTGATGCCTTAGCATAGAATCACATGCAGTTATGGGGCATTCATTTTTTAGAGGTCTGATGGAGCCCGACTTCGATGCAACTTTGCTTGCTCGTGGCTTCGAACCCTCGGTGCAACCAGAAGTTCCCAAGATGCTTAAGTGTTTTTAGACGATGCTTTTGACGAGGGTAACCTTTTAGCGGAGTTTCGAGTTTTTATAAAGGCCTTACTTTTTGATTACGAGCTTCGGACGTCTCCGAGCCATTTTTAGGGTGGACATAGCCTTTTGCATTTGGGCACCGCCTAATAGGTTTGGTGCCTCCGAGATTCGGTAGCCTAGGTCGTTCGAATTTCTTCGGGCGGCAGTCCCCGAGTAAGGGTAGCCCTTGGGCTCGATAGTCCTCGAGTAAGGGTAGCCTATGGGCTCGATAGTCCCCGAGTAGGGGTATCCTATGGGCTCGATAGTCCCCGAGTAGGGGTAGCCCGTGGGCTCTAGGATCCAGAATCGAAGAAGCAAAAATACGTAATAGCAAAGCGAAACTTTTTTTCATTTCTCAGTGTGCAAAATACATGATCGAGAGCGCATAAAAGTTTGTGTCATGGCTAGAATGGACTATATGAGCATGGTTCATACGGCCATTTGGCCTTAAAATGAATCCTAGTCACCAAGCCTTAGTTTTTAGCATAAAAATTTTTCTTTGCTAAGAACCTAAATCCGAGGGTAATGGACGCCAGTATTCGAGGCCGAACTTGTGAGGGCTCAGATACTGTTGATATGAAGTGAATGATCATTGACTCCGATTTGAAACCGGTCTTCGAATCTAAGTTAGCACGTCTTACTGTTGCCTCGTTAAAAATCTTGCCGAAAAATCCATTTTGGGACAAAACCGGTTCAATGGAAAAAGAGTGCAACGCGTGCTTTCAGACCTAATAGTCACATCCATCCTTGGTCATTTACCTGCAAATGTTAATCTAATTTATGATATGATTAAAGAGTAATTGAATTCGTACCTTAGCAGTAGTACTGCTTTAAATGTGCCACGTTCTAGTTGTTCGGTAGTTGTATGCCGTTTCCCGCTTTGAGTTTGAACGATCCTTCGCTGGTTATTCCGCCAACTCGATATGGTCCTTCCTAGTTCGGTCCCAATTTTACTTTGTTCGGGTTCCTTGTGAATAATGTTACTACCTCAATACCAAGTCCCCGACTTGAAAGTGATTCGGTTGTAATACCTTTCTATTCTCTATTTCTGGGCGGCCAACCGGACTAGGGTGGCCTCCTGCCTTTCATCCAATAGTTCCAGGCTCGTGATCATTGCCTTTCCATTTGCATTTTCTGTCGTATATTGGAACTTGAGGCTTGGTCCCCCTACCTCGAGTGGTATTAAAGATTCAGCTCCGTAGATCAAGGAAAATGAGGTGGCCCCGGTACTAGATTCTGAAGTCATACAGTACGCCCGTAGGACTTCGGGTAGGATCTCTTTCCATTCCCTTTCGCATGGGTAAACATCTTTTTCAGGTTTTGAAGTATGGTCTTATTTGTTGATTCTGCGTGTTCGTTTCCACTAGGGAGATAAAGTGTTGATAATATCTTCTTGATCTTGTGATCTTCAAAAAAATTACTTACCTTGTTGCCGATGAATTATTTCCATTATCGCAAACGACCTCGGCCGGTATTCCAAATCGACATATTATGTGGTCCATTATGAAGTCAACGACTTCTTTCTCCTGGGCCTTTTAGAATGTTTGAGCCTCGAACCATTAGGAAAAATAATCGGTCATGAATAGTATGAATTGTGCTTTACCGGGTGTCCACGGTAGGGGACCGACAATGTCCATTTTCCACTTCATAAATGACCACGGGGACAGAACCAAGTAGAGCATTTCTCCCGATTAATGGATCATCGGAGCGTGTCTCTGGCAGTTGTCGCATTTCCGTACGAAGTCCTTCGCATCTTTCTCCATCCCGGTCCAGTAATAACCGGCCCTAATCAGTTTTCGAACCAAATATTTTGCCCTCGAATGTTTTTCGCAAGTACCCTCGTGAACTTCTCTTATAGCATATTCGGTCTCTCCCGAACCTAAGCACCTTGCTAGCAGGCCATTAAAAGTTCTCCTGAACAGTGCCCCTTCGACCAAGCTAAATCTGGCAGCCTTGGTACATAGGGCTCTCGATTCCTTGGGATCCGAAAGCAATTTTCTGGTCTTCAAGTAATTAATATACTTGTTCCTCCAACCCCAAGTAAGACTTGTTGAGTTTTTGGCGTGGCCCTCTTCTATCACGAATTTCATGAGCTGTACTATCGTTCCAGAACTGAATTCATCACCATTGACCGATGACCCCAAGTTAGCCAGAGCATCGGCCTCACTGTTCTGATTACCTCTACGTGCTGCAAGGTCCATTCCCTGAACTGATGCGACTTTACCTATAATCTGTCCAAGTACCTTTGCATCCATTCTTCTTTTACTTTGAACTTTCCATTGATTGGTTTACCCTGAGGAGGGGGTTGCGTTTGGATTCGATCACTTCGGCCCTAAGGCTTTTAGACAATTCTAGACCTGTTATCATGGCCTTATATTTAGCCTCATCGTTAGTCAATTTCAGTGTTCTAATAGATTGCCTAATTACATTTTTCGTCGGCAGTTTTAATATGATGCCGAGCCCGGACCCCTTCGCGTTCGAGGCCCCATCCGTAGAAAGATTCCAAACTCCCGAAGTGGTCCCACAGGATAACAAAAATTCCCTCTCAACTTCGGGTATTAAGGCTAGGGTGAAGTCGGCCACGAAGGCTACCAAAATCTGAGATTTTATGGCGGTTCGGGGTCGATACTCGATATCATACCCGCTAATTTCAATGGCCCATTTGGCCAACCGGCCCGAGAACTCGGGTTTGTGTATGATGTTTCTCAGTGGGTAAGAAGTTACGACACATATGGGATGGCATTGAAAGTATGGCTTTAGCTTTCTGGAGGCGCTTAGCAAAGCGAGCGCCAATATTTTCAGGTGAGGAAACCTTATTTCAGCCTCGCCTAGAATTCTACTAACATAGTAAATAGGAAACTACGTAGCTTCTTCCTCCCGAACAAAGACTCCACTTACCGCCACCTCAGAAACTACCAAGTAAAGGTATAGTTGTTCGTCCGCCTTCGGAGTGTGGAGCATGGGCGGACTCGATAGATACCATTTGAGTTCTTCCAAAACTTTCTGGAATTTAGGGGTCCAGGAAAAGTTATTCTTCTTCTTTAACAGTGAGAAGAACCAATGGCTTTTATCCGAGGACCTCGATATGAACCGGCCCAGGGCGGCTATACGCCCGGTCAGATTCTGAACGGCCTTGACATTTTCCACCACGGTGATGTCCTCTATGGTTTTGATTTTGTCGGGATTGATCTCGATCCCTCTTTTGGATACCATGAACCCGAGGAATTTTCCCAATCCTACCCCGAAAGCGCACTTCTCTGGGTTCATCTTAATATTGTATTTCTTCAATATGTCGAAGGTTTCCTGCAAATGATTCAAATAGTCCTCTGCTCACAAGGAATTGACTAACATGTCATCAATGTAAACTTTCGTTGATTTTCCTATCTGTTCTTCGAACATCCGGTTTACTAGGCATTGATAGGTGGCACCGACGTTCTTTAATCCAAATGGCATACATTATAACAATAGGTGCCTAATTTAGTGATAAAAAAGTCTTTTCTTGATCGTCCGAATCCATCCGACTTTGGTTGTACCCGGAATAGGAATCAAGAAAGCTGAGTATCTCGTGCCTGGCCGTAACGTCGATCATCTGATCGATGTTAGGCAAAGGAAAAGAATCCTTAGGGCGTGCCTTGTTCAGGTCTTTGTAATATACACACATTCTTAGCTTCTTTCCTTTTTTAGGCATTACCACTACGTTAGCTAACCAATCCAGGTATTTAACTTCCCGAATGGACCCCATTTTAAGGAGTTTAGATACCTCGTCCTTGATGAATGCATGCTTGACCTCAGACTGTGATCTCCTCTTCTGTTTAACCGGGTGGACCTTCGGGTCCAAACTCAGCTTATGAGTGGTTACTTCCAAGGGTATCCCTGTAATGTCAAGATGGGACCAAGCGAAACAGTCTATGTTAGGTTTAAGAAATTCAATGAGTTTTTTTCTGAGCTTGGGAGTTAACCCTTTGCCCAGGAATACCTTTTAATCTGGTAGGTGTTCGATCAATAAGACTTACTCCAACTTCTCGACCGTCGATTTGGTGGCGTCGGAATCATCAGGAGCTATGAACGATCTTAGAACTCCGCAATCATCCTCCTCGTTTGCTCCTCACTCATCCGGTTCGGTCGGGGCTGGCATCGGTGATTGCTATTTAATTTCTTCCTTTCTGGTCGGCTCCGTGTTCCTTGATGTCAAAACCGCGGGCATAGGGATTACCTCGTCAACTGTGAACATTTACTTTGCGGCTGGCTGCTCTTCATAAACCGTCTTGACTCCTCTCGGCATAGGGAACTTCAGTGCCTGGTGTAAGGTTGAAGGTACCGCCCTCAAGTTATAAACCCATGGCCTTCTGAATAGGGCATTTTACTTCATATCCCCTTCGATCACGTAGAACTTTGTCTCTTAGATCGTCTCAGTGGTGTTCACTGGAAGGGTTATCTCCCCTTTAGTGCTTTTGCATGCCATTTTAAATTCGTTCAACACCAGGAGATTGATAAAAGAACCTGGCCGAAGTCAGTCTTGTGTTCAATTCCGCGGTTGGAAGGATTTCTTTCTACCATCTGTCTTTCCCTTCGGACCTCGGGCACTATTTGGTATTGTAACCCCAACTGCTCTACGACCCTCGATATGATGATGTTGGTCGAGCTACCTGGATATAATAATACACGTTTAACTCGAGATTTATTAATAAATACGGATATTACCAGTACATTATTGAGTGGTTGCACGATTCCCTCGGCATCCTCATCGTTGAACAAGATGGTTCCCTCCGAGACATAATCTCGAGTACGTTTTTCCCTTGTGATAGATATTTTAGTGCGCTTTATTATCGATCCTTGAGGGACATCGACCCCTCCAATGATCATGTTGATGACGTGTTGAGGCTCCTCAAGTTTGGCCTGTTTGTTGGCATCCTTGTTCCTAAAGTGATTTTTGGCTCAATCGCTCAGAAATTCTCGGAGGTGCCCGTTATTAGATAACCGGGCAACTTCTTCTCTCAATTGTCGGCAATCCTTGGTCCTGTGGCCATGAGTGCCATGATACATACACATCAAGTTAGGATATATTTGGGCAGGGTCAGACTGCAACGGTCGGGGCCATTTGGTTTCCTTGATGCGCCCGATGGCTGATACGATGCTGGCCGCATCAACATTGAAGTTGTATCCTGACAATCTTGGTGCTTCTCTACCCTCGAAAGGCCTGTCTGTTATACCCTGTAAGTTTAATAACCTTTATACCGTTATATATATTTGATATGGTATTTTGAGTGGAACATTTTTGTAAAGAAAAAATTGGTTTGAAAAATATGATTTATAGAGCTATTAATATTACTACTTTTGAATATGTTTTAAATTATACACATAATATGAGAAAAAGTTTATGAGATTTTCTTTATTGTAAAGATATGAATTATTATTTTTACAAGAAAAGAAGGTTATCGTTTTTTACCATTTTAAGAATTAAGCATACGAAAATTTGTACTCTTTATATGAGATTAGAAAAATTAGAAGTTGAGAAAATATATGTATTTTTACATGGATGTTTTAATGAAATAATAGTGTATGAATTTATTTTACAGGGTACGACATGACCGTAATAGTACGGTGTATAAAGTGTATTAAAAATAAGTGGAATTTTAAGTAATTTGAGACAATTCTTAATTATGCGGGTAATTGGTTAATTACCGGGTAACGAAACATTACCTAATTAACTAATAAGTTGGATACAGATTAAAATTTTCCCTCCACCCCCACGTGGCAGCACCCCTCTAATCCTATGAATGACTCTTAAGTCATTAGTCTAGGTGGCAAGACTAGGACAAGTCTTATAACCTAAGTAACTACGTATTACTTCATTTTGATATTTTGAATACAAGACACTACAATCAAATTCCTTCAATTCCTTACACACACTACAATCAGATGTGAAGTTTTACACATTAGCAACGTGAATTCTTACCAATTTCCTACACATTCCTACAAAAACGCTACAACCTGATGTCTTCAACCAAAATTCAAACCGAGATTTCATAGCAAAGTTAATTCATTTTCTAGATAGCAACATTGTTGCTAAGTTCTTAAGGAAAGGTTTCGGCCAAGATTTTCTTTGCATAGCAACGTGATTGCTTCAAGCTTTTCATACGACTTATTCCGTATTTTGTCGCAATTAACGTGCGTTAGAGGGATTGTCAAGAGAATCAACTCAGGTACGTTAAGGCTATCCCTTCTTTCTTTTGGCATGACCCAAGCGACGATATGTAAATGTAACGATATTCTATAAGTGGTTCTACTCTTAGCAGTTAAGGATGTCTACGTTATTCATTCCCGTAAAGTGATATTTTAGCATGTCTAAGTATGTATCTAGTCCCTATTGAGGTATATGATAGAAATGTTAATGTTTATAATATAGTGATACATGTACATGCATCTTTATTTATTTACCACCGTGCTATGGCCGGTCGGACAGTTACAACCAATTAGGCAGTTATGTATCATTATTTATCACCGGTTGGGCAGTCATGCATATTTATTTACCACCGAGCTACGGCCGTCGGGCAGTCATGCATTTACCACGGAGCTACGGTCGGTTGGACAGTTACATAGTTACCACCGAGCTACGGCCGATCGGGCAGTCATGCATTTACCACTGTGCTACGGCCGGTTGGGCAGTTACCACTGATCAGTTAGGCAATCATGCATTATACGATGTGGATAATAGAAATAGTCTTAAAGAGAAGCATTATATATGTAAGTATAATAAGTATGAATATACGGTGGCGCTTCAGAGATTCAGGTTGATTCTTATATGTCTTTAATTCATGTTGACTTATTGTTATGTTTCAGTTCTGCCTTACATACTCAGTACATTATTCGTACTGACATCCTTTTGTTGGGGACACTGCATTCATGCCTGTAGGTATAGATAATCATTTTGACGAGCCCTCATAGTAGACGAGATTGGCATTCAGTGAAGGATCGGTAAGACTCCACCTCATTCGGAGTGCAGCCGAGTCTCTGAGTCATCGTGTCAGAGTTTTGCTACAGACTTATGGGTTTGGTACTCTGTCCCATTTGATGTTAAATAATCTTAGAGGCTTTGTAGATAGAGGTTCAGTTTGTACAGTATGTCAGAGGCCTTGACGGCCCATATGTATTCGTATTTTTAAAACGATAGTTTAGTGATACCGTGTTGCCAACTTATAGTTATACATTATGAGTCGTGGCCATGTGGGCCCATGATAGTTACAAAAGGAAAGAGTTCAGCTAACTCGATCTATGTATGTTCTAGTTTTGGTCGAACAATCATGAGTTACAGAGTGGTTCGCTCGGGCCAGCACGGCATCGGGTGCCAGCCACGCCTCCCCAGGTTTGGGGCGTGACACTGTCGAAACCATTTTTGCTCATCAGACCTTGGCTACTAGGCCATCGATCGCCTCTCTTTTCGTTCCTTGTGGAAAGACGCCCGAATCCATTTCCCCTTCGGTCCGCGCTGTATGATTGGTATCGATCCTGGACCGGTCTTGGCTCATAATCGACGGCTCTCTTAGACATATCATCGGCCCTGGTGGGGTAAAAAAACCTAGAAGGGGCTCCGAGTTGATTGTCCTCGACTCTAATCTTCGACTAGTACCTGTTGTGGACGTCAGTCCAAGTTACCGTTGGGTATTCAACCAAGTTTTGTTTTAGCTGCTGTGAAGCTAAGGAGCTTCGGGGGTTAAGTCCTTGGGTAAACGCTTGAATGGCCCAATCATCCGCGACCGGAGGCAGGTCCATCTGGAACCTCGATACGAATTTCCTGAGCATCTTGTTGTCTATTTGTTTAACCTTGAAAAGGTCCGTCTTTCTGGTCTCGACCTTGATGGCCCCGGCATGGGCCTTCATGAAAGCATCTGCAAGCATAACAAACGAGTCAATGGAATTTGGGGGTAAGTTGTGATACCATATCATTGCTCCTTTAGAAAAAGTTTCCCCGAACTTCTTTTGTAACACCGACTCGATTTTATCATCTTCCAAGTCATTTCCTTTGATTGCGCATGTATAGGAGGTCACATGCTCATTCGGTTCTGTGGTTTCACTATATTTTGGAATGTCAGGCATACGAAACCTCTTAGGGATTGGTTTTGGTGCCGCGCTCGGAGTAAAAAGGCTTCTGGATAAACTTCTTGGAATCTGGCCCCTTCAATATCGGGGGTGCTCCCTGTGATCACGTAATTTTTGCCCGATGAAAATACTCCTACAAAATCCATAAAAATAGATTTTTCTAATTGCTTTGATTTTATAGAGTTTTAGGAATTCCTCTTTAAATTGTTTGTTTGCATTTAGTCGCATTTTGTGCATATTTAATATTTTAAAATCATAGAAAACCCATAAAAATTTGTCAAATTTTAAATTCATGCCATTTTAGATTTAATTTGAATATTTAGGAATTAATTACTCTTTAATTGTTAGAACTAATACATGAAAATCAAACAAAATATTTTAGTAATTTTACATGCATTTGTTAAGTTTGAACAAATTAGTTGTTAGAAAATGGTAGATAGGTCAATTTTACAAAAAATGGATTAATTTGGAATATTGAGTAAAGTGGCTGCAGTTTGAATTTCAATTAAACAAAGAGGGCTGCATTTTGTCTCAATTAAGCACCTGGGCCAATTTTCCTTTGCCCAATTTCAACACACACCCACGCCCAACCCAACTTGAATACCTGATCCGCCCATCTGGCTTCAAGGACCAGCTAAGAGATTTCGTAGAACCTCAAAACGACGTCTTTTTCTTGCCTTCTTCCTCTTCTCTAATTAAAACAGACCCTAATTCCATTTATCTAAGATAGAATCGGACAGACCCCCCTCCCCCCCTAAAAAACCCTAGCCGCCAGACCTCTCTTTCTTCTCTCATCTCATTCACTCACCTCATAGACTCATGGATATTCACACTTATGCATAGACTCATTCACACACCTTCAATGATTAGAAGAGAAATTCCGAATTCAAAACTAAAAAAAAGATCTGAGAATGAGATTTTGGGAGCCCTTTTCTGGATTTCAAAGACACTGAAGGTTGATTTCGCCGTGGACTTCTGCTGTTGTATCGCTGAGGCTGTTAGCTAAGCTCCATTTGTGCTTATCCAACCTCTATTTGGATCAATCCAGTTTTTGCTTTCAGATTTAGGTACGCATCTATAAAACTACACTTTTTTCTTGTTGAAACAACTGAAATTGGCTCATGTTCATTCCCTACTTCTTCTATTTTTTTTTACGATTTTGATGAATTAGACAGTATTAGTTTGTCTACGACAGAGTGGATGGGATCCACATCTGTTCATACTGAGTTTGTGTGTGTTCTTCAATTGTGTCACGACCCAAAAATCCACTAGTCGTGATGTCACCTAACCCAACTCGCTAGGTAAGCCAACTAATAACAATCCAATTTCAATAATATTAATAAGACAATTAAACGAAGGAATTCTCCGAATTTTATACATTTCTCAAGGATTGGTAGTACGAATCATGAGCTATTAAGAATAGAGTTTACAAAGCTGATATGAACTAAATACACCTTCTGTTTGAAAAGTGCATAAACAGAGTTTTAAAATCTAAGGCTACCATGAACAAGAGGCAGCTACAACAGAGACGCAGGTACATCTTCCAATCCAGCTCCTGTCAAACACAGCAACATCGACATCCGAAATCTGCACGCAACGTGCAGGAAGTGTAGTAAGAGCAAAGCCGATCCCATGTACTCAATAAGTAACAAACCTAACATTAGGTTGAAAGTAGTGACGAGCTGGAACATAGGTCGGGTCCAACACCAATAACCAACAGCAGTTCATAACGTAGAGCATATAAATAAGGAAGTAACTCAGAGATAAAATTCTCAGCTTTTTCACAGTTTTCCAACAATAGTTCCGCTTATCAAGAATATCAGTGAAAACCCAAATTCTTTACCGAAATCGTCCTAAAATATGAGATAGTTGAAAACTGTAATTTTTCCAAAAATCCTTTTCACAATAAATAAGATGTTTCATTTTCTTTCCAGATAGCAAGTGTGAGATACCTCTCTATGACCACATATCAATGTGTGTAAAAAGTCATGAATGACGTGATACCGTACAACATGAGGAAAATGCGTCTCTATGCCTGTATGTCATATATGCATGCCAATGCCATGTATCTCAGAGATGAATCATGTACTCACACTCTCAGAGTACTCAATCTCGCTGTCTCACACTTTCCACTCATCATGCTCAACCACTCGGTACTGTATATGGCCCAAACGGCCCAGAAAAATCCATCCCAGAACATATACAACACTGACTATAAGTCACCCAGTACCGAGGAAAAAGGGAAATCCAACCCTGTGGAGAAATCCATCTCCAGGTATTAAGTACTTTAGACAAATCCATGTCCAGGGAAATCCATCCCTCAATAATATCATCCGTGCTCACTAGGGGTGTGTACAAGCTCCGGAGGGGCTCCTACAGCCCAAACGCTATCATAATCATCAATATAACTGTTGCGGCGTGCATCCCGATCCCATAACTATCACTCATAATCAGGCTCTCGGCCTCACACAGTCGTCAATCTCTCCAGTCTCACCCACGAGCTCACAATGTCATGGAAGCTAACCCGGAACAATGATATGATGTATCAATAAATAACAACTGAGACTGAGCTATGATATGAATGCATGAATAAGACTGAGTATGAAATATCAATAAAATCAGTGAGATGACAGCAAGCAACAACCACTATGGGTCCTAACAATAATAGCATAAAGCCTAAATATGATATCTAGCATGATTGACAGCTCAGTTACTTTATCACATGGAGAAAACACAGATATCAACAAAAATAGGGCCACTATACAATGCCATAGAAACAACAGAATAACAATTGACAGGGTGCACGCCCACACGCCCGTTAGCTAGCATGTGTGTTGTCACACCTCCTTTTTCACTACACCCGCAAGGGCGTAAAGGAGTTTTTCCACTTAAAGGACAATCGAAACGGGGTTCGTTATTTATTAAGATTCAGAGTCGCCACTTGGGAGATTCATGGTGTCCCAAGTCACCGGTTGAATCCCGAATCGAGGAAAATATGACTCTGTTTAACAGTCTGCGATCCAGAAATCCAAGTAAGGAATTCTGTTAACCCGGGAGAAGGTGTTAGGCATTCCCGGATTCCGTGGTTCTAGCACGGTCGCTCAACTGTCATATTTGGCTTATTTATTTGATTTTAATACATGTTTTGACCTATGTGCTTTTTAACCTTGAACCGCTTTATTATTATTATTTTTTAGAGAATTGCAACATCGTGAAAACGCGTCTCGAACCACGTCACATAAATGCACCCGCGGTTTTTGACACATTTCGACTTCGTTGAGATTTGGATTTGGGTCACATAAATGTGCACCTGTATTTAGGAAGGTAAAATTGTTTAAAGTGCGTGCCTAAAGAGACTATCGCGTTATTATCTTTGGGGAAAGCCGTGAAATTCGCTAAACGGCCCGTCCCGAAATCTAAGTATTTTAACACAAACATTTATTGAGGGCCCCGCAATTTATGTATTTTTGTTTGGCGAGGCTCATCTCATTTATTATTTAAAAGGCAAACCTAAAAACAACTATGGTTCTCTATTTTTATTTGTCTCTAATAATGGAGGAAAAAGTCCTACTTAATTCATTATTGGACCAAATGGTAATTCTGCACCACAGTCCAGCCATTGGGCTCCAAGATAAGCCCAACGAGGGGAAATTACACCCAGGTCTGTACTACAAAATTGGCCAGTTGCTGACTATGGCCCAGGCCCAAACGGAGACCAACATTCAGGAGGCATGCACGAGCCAAACTTCACAGAGGTCCTTATTTCGAACCCCTAGGACTACGATCAGATTTCAGTCACAACTTGGGCCAAAGTTCATAGCCCAAGCACGTTTGGAGACCTCAGATCTCAAGGCCAACTTGACGCCTAATTCCCCAATGGGATTCCAATTTCAGTAATACACTTAAAGCAACACAAATCTAAAAGTCGTTCCACATGAATTAAACCAAAATGCTAATAATTGAAGGAGTATGAGACAGTCAGTATGACATTTGTGCATTGAATCGTGATTTTGAACAGTTAAACTAGAGGACCTATTGACATCCAACTAAACCAAATTATACAAAGGTGTGATTATTGATTTTCGAATGAGACATTAGGCTGTTGAATTAAGATGAGTTATCGTCCCTTTTCAATCTAATTTTAACCAGTTGTGTCCGTCCAAGCTACAATATTAACTCTACTAAACTAAACTGAACTTCAATTTAATGATAAACCTGCTAATGTACTGATTTTCAACTAACATGGAGATCCCACTACACTACATTAGGATACTGCTCCAGAACAAATGAATACAAATTCAAAAATTACAGTCTAGTACAGTTCAGACTTCAAAGTCCATATTATTACAAGTCTAGCCTAAACTGTATCAAACAAGCATACATTAACTAGCAATGTCTAATTATTGATATACAGCATTCAAACGAGTGCGAATCACGAAACAGGAAACGTGAGCCATGCTTTATTTCATTTCCATTTTTGATAGCTACATCGAAGCAATTGTGAGATGTGTACCTGGAAATGTACGATTACAAGAGAGAAGAGAGAGATCAGCAACAGTGCAGCAGATCGGAGTTCAACAACATCAAATAGGACCAGATTTAAATCCAAACCAATATCAAAGTGCCCAGGCAGATGTAAAATCAATCAAACACCTTAAATCTACTTGAAATCA